TGTTCTTCTGTTGGTTTTCTGAGATCTTGATTTTTATTTGTCTAGGTGTAGTTTTTTATTATGGCTAGTTGGAGTCCTATATGCCTCATTTATCTGTATGTCAAATTCTTCTCCTCTGTTCGGGAAGTTTTCTATCATTAATTCTGTGAACAAATATTTATGTCTTTTTTTTTCTTTCTCCTGCTACTTCATGAATTCCTGTCCATCTTATATTATTCTTCTTTGCATCATCTAAGAATTGTTAGATCTATTTCTCATGATGCCTTACTCTTTTCAAGAGATCTCTCTTTTCATGCTCACTAACCACAGTCCTATTTTGTATATCTGAAACTCTATCTTCACATTTGTTCATTCTGCTGTGAATGCTTTCTATAGAGTTTTTAATCTCGTGCATATCTGTTTGAATCTGTTTCATGGATTCCATTTCTTTCCTATGTTGGGCATTCAAGGTTTCCATTTCTTTCCTGTACTGGCCATTTATGGTTTCCATCATGGTCCTGATCAGGCTCATCTATTTTTTTTTTTAATCTATTTCTGTTCTAGAGTCTCTAATCATGTCTTTTATTCTTCTCACTATCTTTGTGGTTATCTGGGAAATTATTTCTGTTTTGAATATTTCTAGAGCCTCATTTATCTGTTTTTTTACTTCCTGTGCTATTGGTTCAGGGTGTCCAGATGGTTGACTGTCAGACTTTTCCACCTTATTTTTTTTCCCCAGGGTTTACCTTTGGTGAGGTGGAAGTCTGTGTTTGTGCCTTGTTTAAATGTCTTCTCATTTCTATTTTTGTTCTTGGTACTACCCTTGGTTTAATTCCTGGGTTAATACTTCATTCTTCCAGATATAGCTGGTCTTTAGGTTTTGAGTCTCTAATGACTCTGAGACACTCTCATTTTCATTATAGCAGGAAGAACAACTGATTAGATCAATCACAACACCTCAGCCCAAGTGATAACAACCAGCAACACAATAGATTAATAACATCTATCATCTTTAGCTGTGTGAATTAAATCAAAATGGAGGATCAGCCCAAAATATATTTATAGTGAATAAATTCTTCAGTATAGCAACTTTACTCTTCAGGATGGCAATTTAGAAGTAGTTGGGGAGGGAGGGATTGATAGGATAGAGAAAGGTTAGAAGTGAGGTCAGAGGACATGGGAAGGTCAAACAAACTCTAGGAAAATGTTGAAGAGAAGAGGAGAAGACAGAACCAAATATACACAAGAATAGAACAAACTAATAGCAATTTGGAGGCTAGAGATTATAATCACTTACTTTTAAAACAGTTATGGTGGTATTGTGTGCTTTTATTGCAGAGATTTTCTTCACTTTTCCAGTGGGCTTCAATGTTAATCTGGCAGCCTCAGAGAGGCCCTCTTTCTCTTGTTTTCAAGGGGGGCACACAGACACTGCTATGTTGGTGCCTGGGCAGCTGGGCTCCTCTGCCATGCTGGGCCAAAGGGGCAGGCCTATCAGAGGGTCTCACTTCCATGCTCCTCTCTTCCTTTGCACCAAAGAGATGGCCCCACCAGAGGGTTTCAAGCTGCTGCTGGTCTCCTCTGCCACACTTGTCCTTGCTAACTTGATGTTATCAGTATTTAAATTTTAGCCATTCTAAAAAGGTATCTCCTTGCTTTAATTTCAATTTTCCTACTGATTACTGATGTTAGACAACTTCTCAAGTGTTTATTGGCCATTCTTATATCTTTAGTGAAGAAGCAACTCATTGCTTTTTTAAAATATTAGTAAAATGCACACAACAAAATTTACCATCTAAACCACTGTTTTGTGTTAAGTAGAGTACATTCACACTGTTGTTTAGGAAAACTCTGGAACTCTTTTCATGTTGCAAAATGAAATCCTAACAACTCCCCATGGCCCATCTCTGTGTTATTGTCCACTTATAAATGTTCTCTGATTGTAATATTTTGTTATAGATTCTGGATATAAGTCTTTTATACTCTGGATATAAGTCTTTACTCACTGTATAGTTTTTCTCCCCAGCATCCTTTAAAAATCGGAAGATTTTAATTTTAATAATACAAATTTAGCTCTTTTTCCTACAGCAGATTGTATTTCCTTTTGCTGCAACTATGTCTTACATTGCAAATATATTTCTGATGATATGATTTTGATCTTCCTTTTCCTATTGAATTTTACTGGTGTCTGTTGTAGATTAATTGGCGTGTATATACTATTCTATGTCTAAACACTTCATTCTATTCCATTGCTTTGTCAGTCCTTTTGCCAATAACATACTGTCTGATTTTATTGCTTATCCAAGAGTCTTGGTAGTTCTGTATTCTTAGAACTTAATATACTTTTAGAATCTATTTCTAAATCTATTTCTTAGAAAGTTCTAGAATTTTTATTGGGATTTTGTTGAATTGTATTTCTGAAGTCTCTTCAGCCAGTAGTTTATCATATTTGGTCTAAATAAATCTAGCGCAAAGATTTCTTCTTAACTCCTGAAGTCATGCCTTCTGGCAAGCTGGTGCATACAGTTGTCTGGAAGAGCTTCCCTACTCATCTTGTTTTTGCTATGCTTTTTCACCATCGTTACTGAGGATTCAGGTGTAGATGGGCCAAGAGTGTCCTGTTAAACTGCATGCCTTAGGTGAACCCTGGTTTTTGCCCTTTCTTCTTCCTAAGTCACAGAACCATTAATTATGCATGCCTATATTCATCAAGTTGTCAGAGCAAATGGGAGACTGGATTTTCATCTTTACTTAGTCTTAGACCTGAGTATTCTTGATGTTTATTTTCATAAGTTTATGCCTACCTTGAAGAAAATAAGAAATAGGCATCTTTTTTGGATTTACATTCAACTCCTGTATTTTATTTACTAGTAATTTTCCATATCACATCCATAATCCCTTTGCATAGCATCTCAGCCCATTCATTTCTAGAGTTTTCTGTGTTTGTTTCTTGGAAGCCATATATTCTTGTATTCATGCCTGGGACCCCCCCAAAAAAAGCTTATGAGGTTTTCATCTCAACCAAATAATAGATCATTTTCAAAAGTGTATGCCCCATGTGATTTCTTAATTATCTTTTCGTTAACTTAATAAACTTTAATAGTTTTATTCATGGTCTCCATTTTATTTATTCTTTTCTCATCCTTGGTGAGATAAAAATATATGGAAACCCAGGGTTATCACTTGCATCCTCTTATATTTTGTCCCAATCTCTCTTTCACATTCACAGTTAGGAGTAAGAGTCTCACTGGATATTTTAAAGTGGCAATGCCAGAAGTTGCAGGCTAGAGATGGAATAAACCAAGGCAATGAAACAGGACAGGTTGCTGCTGGAAGAGGCAGGTGATGGGGAATAGTGACTTGGACCACACTGGGAGAGTAGATGACAAATTGGACAGGTGTCTACCCGGGATACTGCAGAGTACTTGCAAACAGTAGATTCTATGTTCAGATAGTAAGATGAATGCATCTTTAAAATTCTGCATTTAATGACCAAAGGAGGGCACACACAAGGCACAGTTTTTTACTATGAATCTAAGGTGTGCTCAGCACAAGCTCAAGATTTTATGTCACTAAAAGAGAAAAACTCTACTGTATACCTAAAATGTACCAATAAACTCAATGAGGAAAAAAGAGAGAGAGAGAAAAACTCCTGCCCACTACACTGTGACAGTCTTCTATTTCAAGATGCTTCCCAATTTTAGGGGTGTTGAAATATCAGTAGGCTATGACTTTAGAATCAGCAAAATAGGATGTCACATAACACCATTAACAAATTAAAATACATGCACCAAATTTCACATTTTGCAAGGTCATATTCAAATAAGACATACATGTCAAATATTTAAGTAGTTTCTTCTCAGGAAGAACTAAAAGGGAGTGGGGCCAGGCTATGGGAACAAGAAAAAATGTGCAAACAGAAGTGTGTGCGTGCGGGTATAAAAACCACATACGAACCAACGAGAGAGAGCCTTGAATACGGAAAATCTCAACAGATCCCAGGCTACACATGGACCGTAGGCCTTTTTCTGGTAAGCATGCTCAGTGTGCTTTTGATTCTTTTTGCCTGCTTTGTGTATGTGTGTGTGGTTGTGCATGTGTTACCAGGGATGGAACTCAGGCCTGCGCATTGAGATACATCCCCTGCCCTTCATTATTTTTTTGTTTTGAGGCAGGGCCACAACAAGTTGCTAACCTCTGCAGGCTTGGCTCAAGCTTGCTATCCTCCCACCTTCAGGACACCACCACCCCTGGATTCATGTGCATGTTTTTATGTCACACTTTACTTTGCACTGTATGATGTCGGTAGTAGTTCGGCTTGCATGCTGCTGCCCCTGCACTCCTACAAGAAATTATTCTCTTTTTTAATGTCGTGTAGCTCTTGAGAAACAAGGCACATTGTTGAAGCTCCCCGTAGTTTGGTGGTGCTGGGGGTGACCTTGTGATTCCTCACTTGTTACGTGTAGAGCTGTCCCAGGGCATCTGATGGGAGTTGTCTTAGATACCATGATCCTTGAATGCTCACTTTCTTTATTAAAAAAAGTGTTGCATTTGTATGTAACTTAGGCACAGCCTCTTGTATGCTTCAAATCATCTTTGGATGATATATGATATCTAATACTATGTAAATTTCATGATACTACACTGTTTATGGAAGCCTGTTTATGTTCCTAACAGAAGCAATGTTTTGGGCTTTTTTTTTTTTTTTCCTATCTGTAGTTGCTTGAGCCTGTAGAAGCAAAACCAGTGGATAGAGGACCAACTTGTAGCAAATCCCAAGTTGTAGGGACAATCGAAAGGAAGTAGAATCACAAAAGACACAAAGGAAAGCATTTTTTTCTTGAATTTGTTTCTCATCGTACACTGAATAAAAAGGGGACCATCCCTGTTGCATCCACAGTTGAAAGAATGAGTCAGGAGTGTCATATCTTACTTGACTGATGGTTGCAGCACATTGACCTCCATTTGATTTGACTTTTGTTTCCCATTGATCACAAGTGTATGCCTTTTATGTCTTTCAGAAAGCAAAACCCTTGTATGTGCAGTCCAAAGCGAACTTGACAGACACCGCCTCTTCTTCAAGCAATCATTTCCCTGAGGTAGGCAGATTGTTTTTCTCTGTGAACCATTCAATCAGTCAGTACTACTGAGCTTCAGCCAACTTTCTGTTTTACCTACAGGTAGCCAAGAAAAACGTGGATGCAGTGAATGATCACCCATCTTCCTCCAAGGGTAAGAAAGGGCCGGAGAAGTAGCTCAGTGGTAGCACTCTCACCCTAGCAGCACAAGGCCCTGGCTCCTGTTACCATTACAAAACAAAAAGATGAAGAGAAGGGAAGAAGGTAGGGGAGGCGAAGGGAGGAGAAGGAAGTAGAATATTATTGGACACCGAATGGCACTTAGTCTAGATTAACTTGGCTTTTTCTTGTTTTCCCTAAGATATTTATTTGGTAGCCTGAATGAATACATGACTTTTTAAAAGTCAGTTTATAAAACTAATGTATAGATAACCTGAATAAAAGAATTCTTGTTAGTGTTCTGTTTCTGAATACTGACTGGTGCTAACTGAAATGAACTTAGTCAAACTTCATAATCAGAAACTGTCTCAGTTGGAACTTCATTTTATTTTTATTTTATGGCCAACAGACCTCAAGCCCTTGTTACATTCTTATTTTTCCAATTTAATAATTAGAGCAGAAGTACAATCATTTCTGGTGCCTTTACCTTCCTGGAAGATTCTTTGTCCACAAATGTCTATAAGACTTTTCTCTAAACTTGGAAACCAAAATAGGATGCCTACTGGGTATCTGGGTGTATCCTTGCTAACGTGTGGTGGATATGGGTAATATTCTAAATGCCTTTCAGCTGTTAGCTCTAACGCTCACCAAATTGCTGAGACAGGTACTCTGACTATTCCCCATTTTGCACACGAGATAGTTAATGACAGCGAGGCTTGGTAAACTGCTGTGCAGCAGAGCATAGCTGGAGCTCCAACTCTGGCAGAGGCCATGTGCCAGCGCCACTGGATTGGACGATTAGACAGACACACCCACGAGCTTCCGACGACCTCACTCGCGAAAATGCGGCCGTGATGAGGCAGTGGGCGGTAGGTGGTGGGAGGACGGGCCGGGTAATCCCCTCCCTGGGCAGCCTCCTGCACCTCCGGAGGATCCCACGACCCCTGTCTGCTCTTCCTCCTGGACTGTGAGTCTGCAAATCTGCACCCACCAGCTGGTGGACGCCTCCGGAAAAAGCGTACTAGTAAATTAAAAACAGTCTTGGTCTCTCCTTTGCTTTTATAATCACCAATGGCCTACAGGCGTGAGTACAAGTGAAATCCAGCATTAGTATCCAAACATGCAGAATTTGGGAGAAAAGTGAATTAAAATATAATTTAAAACAAATAGAAGGGAGAAAGGGTCGAAGGGAGGAATGGGAAAGAAAGAAGCAGCAAGATATATCACGTACAGGTACAAATTCCCTATGCTGAACGTTATCATTATGTTTAAAATGTACCGATAAATATTCTGCAAAATATTAAAAATATATATTAAAAGCCACTTCAAAATGGCTTTTTGTTCTGTTACAAGTCCTGAAAATTCTAAAGCATAACACAGTCACTGGTGCAACAATAAAAAGTTTTAAGAGATAAATAAATTCTGATTAATATCTGAAAATTTTGAAAGCAATGTTTTACATAGTAGTAATTACCCCAAGACAGTAGAAGTGAGATTAATTTGTTTGCTGTTTACGTGTGATAAAATTCGGAATCTGAACCACCTATTGTATCCCCCTCCCCGGCCACTGATTTTATGTACCCAAGAAGACCTTTCTCACAGTTCAGCAGTTAGGAGCTATTGACATTGTAATCTTTGGAAATGCTCTTAATGAACCTGAAAGACACGACTCTCCTAGATAAAACCTCAGAGTAACACTGGTTCAAACATTAGTATCTGAAAAGCAGGACAAACCCAAACTCCAGCCTAGATTACATTGTGTGGCCAATTTTTCAGGATGTTAGGGAAGAAATGTCCAAGAGGTGATTGGAAAGGGTTTTTAAGAACACTAGAAAGATCACAATGTACTTGGTGTAATTCAAGGACTTTGAAATTCTGGACCTGAAAAGTATTTTTCAATAAGTATATTTCCGCCAATTGATGAAAGTAAATGTTAATTGAAAGTGCAGGTCAGTTGCTCTGGTTATTAAGTGCAGAGATAATTTTTAAAAGTGAGGGAAAAATTGGAATTTAGGTAAAACGTGAAAAGAAAGTTTAACCTTAAGTAAAAATAAAATCCAGCAAGTTAGTGTTGTTTCATGTATTGTTTCAAGACTGTCATCTGTAATTAATGCAATTTGGAAAGTTTTCAAGTTCACATTTAAATGCAGATTTTATAATATTGCCACATATATAAATAATATATGTTATGGTGTCATGGATAGCTATAAAAATGTTAGAAGAAATTAACCAATGAATTATGTAGTTGAGTGCCAGGACAAACATGATTTACTAAGTAGAATATATTAAGAACTCTGGCGGGGGATTTAGCTCAGTGGTTCTGCCACTTGCCTTGCAAGTGCAAGGACCCGAGTTCAATCCCTGGTACCAAAAAAAAAAGAACTCTGTTAGTATTAATGATGTCACTGACAGAGTTTATCTACTACTTCCTTTGTGGTCACCAACGACCTATTTCTCAAATGCTACATCTCTAAGTTAGAAATGTCATGATTGTCTTGGAAAGTAGAGATGAGCTTATTTCTCTGTTTCCTTAAGAATTTTGCCCATTTTTTATACCTTCAGTCTAAGATAACTGTGTATTTCAGACACAGAATTTAGGATACCAGGTGGAAAATCAGTAGCTTTTCTCTAAATTTATCCTGGAAAATGCAGTGAATTCTCCATGGCATAGAAAAGGGTCAGAATAACCAATTGGATTAAAGAAATAACAAGACAAGTAAGAAGCAATCTAAAGTTCTGTCCGCTGGTAGATAAGAAATTTTAAAATGTGACAAATGAAAAGGAAAGGTAACTTGTGCTTTGAACATACAGTGCTAATTTATGAAATAAATAGGTCAGCAATGACTGAATTTGCAAGATCATAAACATTTAGTAGAAGAGTTTAAAGTTAATATAGTAAAATGCCTTTATTAATTTTATAGGTTGTCATATTAATTCAGCTTAGGGATACTTTTTTCAGTGCTAGGAATGGAACCCAAGGCCTTGCGCATTCCAGCAGGCACTCTACCCCCGATACTCCAGCCTCATGGTGATATTCTAAAGGACTGGCACATGGTACTGTTTAATACTCTCCTCTAACCACAGTTCTTATTCCCACACATAGTGCTCAGCAGTCTCTGAAACATGAGGCAGCAGACAAGAATGCTTCCTGTGCCTGTTGTTTCCTCAGTTCCTGGGCCAGGACTTGGACTCTGCAGCCCCTCTGGGCCCTGGGACCAATGCTTCCATCTCAAACGTTAGTTACTTAACTGCAGCCTAACACTATGGCTACGTAAGAGGCTTTAAGCCATCCAAGCAGTTACAGTAGTGACAGAACATTGAGCAAGGGTTTCACACAGAGTATCCATTTTTTAACTTCATCACGTTTCTGTTGGGCTGGGGGGTAGGTGTCTCAATGGTAGAACACACTTGCCTAGCACACATAAGCCCTTGTATTCAATCCCTAGCACTGTTTTTTTAAAAAGTGGGAAAGTTCTGTTATAGAAGTAGCAAAATATTACAGGATATGGTGCTCAGATGCATGCAAATCCACGAGCTCATCAAGTGTTCCTCTGAGGTCGACATGGAATCTTTGTAGATAAAGAGGTAGCTCATTACCATTCCTTACAGCTGCTGGAACCCACAGTTTGGAAACAGATCAGAAAAGTGGATATTTGTCTCAGTTACCTTTCCTGCTGCTGAGACAAAATACCCAACACCCAAAGGTACAGGAGGAAAGGTTTATTTGGCTCATAGTTTGTAAGATTTCAGTCCTTAGTCAGCTGACTCCAAGGTCAGGTGGCATGGCAGCATCGCGGGACAGAAACAGTTCATGGCAAAGCAGGGCAGGCAGCAAGCAAGCAACCAGTGACATGCGACAGCCATCTCTCCGTCCCTTATATTATATCCAGGCTACAAGCCCTTAGGGTGGATAGAATGCACACCCAGGCAGGCCTTCCCATTATTCACACTCAGAACTGTTTCACACCAGTCAGTGGACTAAATTAGTAATCACACACCCTGATCCCAGCGACACATGCATAATCCCAGCATCACACACTCCAGATCCAGCCACCTCTGGAAAGCCCCACCTATAGCCACATGAGGCTTTGGGGGACAGCTAGATACGAGTGATAACAATCTTGATACGTGTCACCACCCAGGAATGTCACTGAGCCCTGTCCTTAGCTAAACATTCCTGGCTGGCTTGACTTCTAGGCTCCACGGCTTAAATGAAACAATCACGTCAACAATAACGTCCTAAAATGCTGAACCTTGGTTAAAGAAGTCAAACTAGCCAGGGGTGGAAAGCCCAGAAAAAGCCTGTACATATCACACTGTGTCATTGACTCTGTTTCTTCTGCTCTTAACACTGCACCAAAGAGTTTTTATAACTTTGATTTTAAAATAAAACCACCTGGCAGAGCAAGTCCTTACATCTTGTTCCACAAAACTGCCTTAGCCCTTCTTTGTTCTTTACCCTTTCACATATATTTTTAGGTTTACTACTTCAAGTTCCATGGAAAAAGTTGTCAGCAGTTAGATTTAAAAATGCATCCAGGGAGAATTCACATTTTTTAATGACACTAAGTCTTAATGTGAATACAATTTTCACTGATTGGGAGCTTCTTATATCTTCATTAATAATACTTTGTAAGATCTTCTTAAATGTTTTATGCATCTTTCATTACATTTATTCCTAAGTAATTTAAATATATAAATAACATATACTTTGTTGCAATTAAAAGTGGAATCGTGACATGTTCTAAAACTTATTACTGTTGACATTTTTTGTGCTTTGATTTTCTGTCCAACAAATTTGTAGAACTCCGTTAGTACTAATAGCTTGTCTGAAATCTAGTCTCTTTGTTTTTAAGCAATCACATAATTTATAACTTAAAAGACTTGTCCCTTCTATGTACCTCTTTTATTTTCCTTTCTTATTGCACTGGCTAGATTTCCAGTCTTATAATACAGTAATCATGGCACATTTATATTTTTCTCTAGTAGGATAAT